CCAGCAGCCCCTGTCTGCGCAGGCCAGGCTTGGGCATGCTGCAGGCAGAGGCTCCTTCATGGCAGCCTCCCTGACTCCTTTCCCTCTGTGCTGCTGTCTTTAGACAGCAGCATGGGAATGGGGAGAGAGGCAGCACTGCCGCAATAGTGCTGGGGGGAACTGGCTTTTAAGCCAGCTCTCCCTAGCACTGGCTCCTGCTCCCCCGCCCCCCTCACTTGTTGCCTTTGATAGAGCATTTCTATGATAAGGCAGCTGCTCTTGACATATAAATGCTACACTGTGTGAAATTGGCTTTTGGTTCGGTGGCTATCTTGAGTCTGTTTTCAACAGTAGCTACAAGAAGATGCCTTTTCTATACTAACATGAATGATTCAACAGTCAGAAGAATGCTAATATTTAAATTTTACTGTTTAATAGTCCCTTGCCTAGCCTAGATAACATACTCTTGTGTGCTGATTGGGCAGTAGCAGCTATAGGTAGCTGATTGGGCAGTAGCAGCTCTTGGAACTGCCCAAACGAATGCTTGAGAGGGGCTGGAAAGAACCTTTTACAAATACATGTCAAAGCACTGAAACATTAACAGAGATGACAGTGGAAAGCTAATTTAAGTAAACTAAGTCAATTTGTTGTTCATACATTTGTGGTTACTGTTCTAACAGAATGTACCAAATGCTGTCTCCTCCTCTCTGTCCTGCTTTGAAGATTTGCCAGCATGAGGGAACAGCTCTCTGGAGTGTTGACTTGTTCTGTGCTCAACTGATGGGATAAGTTTCAGTGTTTTATAAGGACTGTTAAATGTGTATTTAAACCCAGCTTTTTATACAGCCACACAGATAGTAAAAAAATAAATCTACCCCTTGGGATTAAGATGGAGAAAAAAAGGCAGGGAGGATAGATCACTTGTTAAACGCTACCCAGATTATATCAGAGCTAAATTTTAACTCAGGAGTGTCTGGCACCCAGTACTATTGACCAAAAAACTGCTTACCTGTTGTTCCCTGGGGATTTGCTGTTTATGTAGTAGTAAGTGCAAGGTGTGTTTCACTGCAGTAGCTAAATTGCAGGGCATTTCAGATTAAAGGGAGTGTTAAGACTAGTGGAATGTGATGGGAAAGAGGGAATGGAAGACTCTTTCAGCATTGCTATAAAGATGGAATACTGATCACACAGTTCTTGAATACTGTCCACTTGAATAATGCAGAGCGTGTATTGTGTCAGTGGCCGGGTAATTTTACGCCACACAGAGGCTTTGGGGTTAGAAGCATCCAGCAGCTTTCCATGAACCAATGGCTAGCCAATGAAATGCTCAGTGTTTTCCAGGAGTTCACCACCAATGACAATTTGTGGGGGAAGGGGGAGGAGAGACTTGTGCTGGAGTAGGCTGGTGGAGCACCTGAATCTTCACAGTTGAGTAGGGATGTAAAAGAGTTTAAATAGTTAACTAGTTAAACTACTAACATTTTAGTTATTTAACTGGTTCAACACCCTCCTGGCTTCTGCTGCTCTAACACAGGGTGGAGGAGGTGGTTTCCTGCTGGCATGCCTGCGCCAAGTCCGACTGACAGTGGTTTTGGCTGGCAGGGGCTAGAGATCCACTTGCTTGCCCCATGCAGCTGAGGCTAGGATGCTGGAACACCCCATGCTAAGTCGGAGCAGCTGGGGTTCTTGTCTGACACCCTGATGCAGGCAGGGTCCCGCCGGCCGACACAGGCACAGCCCTGCCTGCCGCTCCCCATAGCAGACTGAACTCAGCCAGAGTTGCTTGAGCCTACTGTGGTTGGCTGTGAAACCGGTTTTCCAGTAAGCATTCTGGTAAACCTAATGCTTATTGGGTAATTGGTTAAACTGGATAACTAGTTAACATCCCTAGTGTTGAGGGAAAGTCCCTGGCTGTGATAGGCACCTGAGAAGAGAACTAGAGTGGATTGCAAGTCAGCCTCCATGTATGTGAGGAGAGCACAGTTCTCAGCATACTGAAGATCAGTAATAACAGTCCCGGTTACCTACGTTTTAGAATGAAGGTGTCACAGGTTGAGTATTGCATGGACCTCCAGCTCTTCAATCTGAATTTCAGAAGAAAAGTGGTCACAAATAAGAATCAAGATCATGGCAAGTCAGAAAAAAAGGGTTGGGGTCAACAACACAGCCTTGCTTAACACCAGTATGGATTGAGAATGGGGCCCTTTTTTCATCCTAGTCATAAGAGGACTCATGGGGGGAGAGAGGAAACTCCACAAAGACACCTGAAAGTATGTCTTAAGAAGGGAGGCTTGACCCCATGAATTGGAAAGAGCTGGCTGGCAATACACCGCAGTGGCGTCCCATCTTGCACCAAGCCTCAGCCTGTTATGAAAAGAATCACTTTGCTCAAGGTGCTAAGAAATGGCAGAGGAGGAAGGAAGTCTACTGTATCCCAGCCAGCTGTTGTGTTCTCTCCCTGCACCCACTCATCGTATTATATATGGAAAAATGTGTAGAACATGGATCAGATTCCTCAGTCATCTTAAATCTCATTAGTGACTTTTTCCCCCTGGCAGGCATCATCCTGCATGAAGGGATAGCCACCACTGAAAGATAAGAAGTGTAGAGTTTAACAGAGAGCGTGAAACATAAGAGGCAGACAGGCACTGGTATTTCTCATTGATGCCTTCTGTTGGAAAGATCCATGGCCTAGACAGAGGCTCTGGAGTTGTGTGTGTATTTAATTCAGGGGTAGGCAATAATTTTTGGTGGGGGGGCACTCCAAGATTTTAAAAAGTGGTCAAGGGCCACACTTTTCTGTGGAGGTGGTGTGGGGTCTAGGATGGAGGTTGGGTGCAGAAGGGTACGTGGGGTAAGGGACTGGAGTGTAGGAGACAGTGAAGTCTGAGGGAGTTTGGGTGAAGGAGGAGGTTGTGACCTGGTCAGGTAATTGAGGTGTAAGGTCAGGGAGGGAGTATGGGTGCAGGAGAGGATTCTGGCCGGGGGAAGGGGGGGTACAGGGTCTGGGAGGGAGTTGTGACCTGGGTGCAGGGGGCAGAGGGTTTGGAAAGTGACCTAGGGGAGGGAGTTGGGGTGCAGGAGGGGCAAGGATGCCAGAGTCAGGCTTTGGCTGGGAGGCGCTTACCTAAGCATCTCCCAGCCAGCAGCCCTGTAGCACCCCCCAAGGCAGGATGGGCTCTCTGCCTACTGCAGCACCAAAGCATTGAAAATGCAGCCTCCTCCCTCTGCGTGGCTCTTCATTCTGCGAGAGGGGAGAGGCTTGCGCTGCCCCCATTCCCAGGCCAAATCTCTCAGCTCCTATTGTCTGGTTGTTCTGGCCGCTAGGAGCTGAGAGATTGGGTGGGGTCAGTTCCTATTGGCTGGTTGTTCCTGACTAATAGGAGCTGAGGATTAGTCTGGGGGCACGGAGATGACCTGAAGCTTCTCTCTCCCTCCAGAATAGAGTCTCACACGGAGCAGCCCTGTGTTGCATGCCTATGGGGCCCGGGAGGGTCGGCCATGGGCTGGATCCGGTGGCCTGATGGGCCTTATCTGGCCTGTGAGAGGTATCTTGCCCATCCCTGACTTACTTTCACTTCATTAAGTAAAACTGAGCATATAGATGGTTAGCAAAACTGGGGACAAAGTCTGTGTCGTCAGTGCCAGGAAAGGTATGTGTTTAGGGTTAGGCAACTGAAGCAATCTGGCTGTAAAATCCCAGTGGAGTCAAGGCATAGAGAGTCTTAACCTTGATGTAGCTAGGCAAGGTCAACATTAATCTTTCTGCCACATCTGACAAAGTGTTTTTGACCTATGATAGCTTATACCCAAATAAAACTGCTAGTCTTTAAGGTGCCACAGGACTCCTCGTTGTATTTTAAGGTTTCAGAGAGGTAGCCGAGTTAGTCTGTAACTGGAAAAACTTAAAAAACAACAAATAGTCTTGCAGCACCTTAGAGGCTAACAAAACATGTAAATGGTATCCCGAGCTTTTGTGGGCACAACCCACTTCAGATGAATGGAGTTAATAAAGATCCAGTTTCTAAATACATAGGGAATGTGGGGGAAAAGGGGGGGAGAAGGAAAAAGCATTTTTTGTATTTTAAGTGTTAGTTCAAGAAGGAGAGGCAAAAGAGAGTCTTGTTTAAAATAATCTAGTTATACCGTATGGTCATAGATGCAAAGAAATAAAGGTGCCTAAAATATACGTCTGGGAGAAAGTCAGGGAATCTAGTTTTGCATTTTTGGTATCGGATAAATTCCTGCCTAAGTCTTACAAAAGGCTATAAGAGTTCGGAATGCTGCAGGAACTGAAGGATGGCATTACTACTCAGTGCTGTGTCTCCTGAAAGAACTTTTTGAGTTATAGGGATTGTGTCCTGTGGACACCCTAAGTGGGGAAATATTGTCTGAAAATAGCATTGGGGTCTACAAACTAGAGGAGTGCTTGCTGCTCTCTAAGATTTGGAACACCATTGATCAGTGGGAATTTGAGCTTCATTCCTTTCATGTTTTCTAGTGACTTGATTCTTGCAATCCACAAACTCACAGATTTTTTTTATTTAAACCTGCATTAAAGGAATCAGAATTTTCTTTTTCCATTTTGGTTCTTGTTTTTATGGAGAATTTTAATAGATGTTAATGGTTGCATAAAGTCTTTTACATAGAGATTATGTTCTCTCCATGCAGGGCCACAATTCCAAAAATTAATGGTTTATGGCTTGCATTGAGGGAAAATGCACTAAGATGATATATTTCCCCGTAGGTAGAAAACTGCACTGTAGTGATATTGAACTTACTACTGCCACTGCAATATGCCTGAGTTGTACTGGTTGTTGGATTCAAACAGGGATTGTTGCTCTGGTTTGTCCAATGCTGGGGATGCTGTCAGCATTCAAGTAATGTATGCGCAGAGTACAATATTTGTACATCCCAAATGTGTCTTTGGCGTTCTAGCCTATGATTTACTTAACAAAAAAACCCTTGAAATCAGCACTATCCATTTTCCAGAATCCACAATTCTCTTGTTTCTCATGCAGGGCTTGTCACCAGAATCTCAATGGCTTTCTTGAGTAGGCGACTGGGCTTGCTGTTAACCCAAGTAAACAGAGCAGTTGAGCAGCGACATTTCAGGTACTTTTCAAATACTGTAAGCAGAATTTATTGAAATGCCTGTTGTTTTCTTAAACTGAATATTTTTCATGTTTAAAGGGACATTTAGTATCTCAAACACAAAATGTCATGATTCTAATTTTATATAAAATCAGTGTCATAGAAACATTGTAATTACAATCCATGAAAAGACATTCAGAAGATTGCCTAAGCAATCCAAATACAACAATGTATGCTGGTGCCTGACAGTCAAGACATGATACTGGCTGTGGGCCTGATCCAATGATCAGATCTTGTGGCTGTGTACTGAGTTCTTGTATCTATTTGATTGCATGATCAGGGTTTGTGAGCAGAAGGTAAAGCTGCCTTGTTATTTTTGCCACCTGGAATATGATTTGCAGAAAAGATAACAAAGCCCCAAGTGGTGAAAAGTCAAGTTACATGCTTAGAATTCTTCAGGTGTTGATTGTGTAGTATTTAGACCACAAATAATTTTAAAAATTCTTTCCTTGTATCTTGACTGTGTCCCTTATGTAGCTTTCTTTTTCTTTTAAAGTGCCAGTCCCTGCCTCTAGGAATTTAAAGTCTCATTTATTAATTTCATACACTGCAACGTATTGACTAGTCTTTAAGACCACGATCCTGCAATATGCTGTGTGTGGATGTGTGGAGCCACCAACACAGTATTAATTGCAGGATTGATTAGAGATGGGCTTATCAACACTGCAAGTTACTGCTCTGTAACTTTCTGGCTAGGGTGTGAACTCCCCAAGTGAAGCAAGTTATGGCTCTGTAAAGTGCCAGTGTAAAGTCTCCCCGCACTGTTAGCTACTCCCTTTGTGGAGGTGGTTTACCTAGAGCCGTGGTCTCCAACCTTTTTAAGCAGGAGATCACTTTTTTGAATTTAAGTGCAATCCAAGATCTACCTCAAACCCAAACACCCTTGCCCCTTCTGCGAGGCCCCACCCCCTGCTCACTCCATCCTCCCTCCTTTTCAACAGGCATTGGGGCACAGGCTCTGGTCTTGGATTAAGGGATCTGGAGTGCAGGGGGGCTCTGAGCTGAGCCTGGGCCAGGCAGTTGAAGTACCAGAAGGGGTTCTAGGTGCAGGCTCTGGGAGGGTGTTTAGATACAGGGGTTTTCAGGCTAGGGCAGGAGTTTGGGGTGCAGGAGGGGGTTCATGACTGGGGTAGGGTTTCAGGATGTGGGCTCCAGCGGGGCCCCGCTGACCTCAGGTAGCGCCTGAGTGGTGGAGCAGTGGGGCTAAGGCAGGCTCACCCCTGCTCTGGCCCTGTACCACTCTCAAAAGCAGCCAGCAAACTCCATCCCAAGTCCTGTTGTGCCCCCTCTCTGCTCTGTGGAAATAGGATACAGAGTGGGAGAGGGGGCACCTTGGCGTGAGCACCGCACCCTCTCCTGCACTGCACAGAAAGCTTATGGATCCTGAAAGGAACAGCTCCACAGCAAAGAGCAGGAGATGCACAGCACTCTGGGGACTCAGCTGAAGTGCCAGTGCTTGATAGCCACTTTGCCAAACCAGTCGGAATCCCCTGTCAGAGGCTCCAAGATCTACCAGTAGATCCCGATCGACTGGTTGGCGACCACTGACCTAGAGCATTGGTGCCGTAGCCACACTGATGTCTTAAAATGCTTTAAATTTGAATGTGTATTAAAGCCTAAGTTTGCAAGGGGAGTGTTAGTATAATAAATGGACTCTTTATTAGTCATTCACGTCACGCCCATCATTGTAGTAAAGGGACATTATTAAGGGCCCAAAAGCAAACTATTCCACTGCATAGGAAAGATAGAAAGTATGGCAAGCGATCTCCTTGGCTTAACCAGGAGATCTTACATGTCCTAAAAATAAAAAAGGAGTCATATAAAAAGTGGAAACTATGTACAGTTACAAAGGATGAATACAAGTAAACAATGCAAGTATGCAGGGAAAAGATTAGAAAGGCAAAGGCATATGGTAGGTTTAGAAGTTAAAAAAAAAAGTTAAAAATTACTTAGAGATAAGTTAGATGTCTTCAAGTCACCAGGGCCTGATGAAATGCATCTTAGAATACTCAAGGTGCTAATAGAGGAAGTATCTGAGCCTTTAGCTATCATCTTTGAAATATCATGGAAGTCGAGAGAGATTCCAGAAGACTGGAAAAGGGAAAATATTGTGCCCATCTATAAAAAAGGAAATAAGAACAGCCCAGGAAACTACAGATCAGTCAGTTTAACTTCTGTGCCAGGGAGATAATGGAGCAAGTAATTAAGGAATCCATTTGCAAACATCTGGAAGATGATAAGGTGATAGGTAACAGCCAGCATGAATTTATAAAGAACAAATCTTGTCAAACCAAGAACCTGCCAGCTCTTAATACATTTAAAAAGCAGAAGTGCAGTGGGGGGGGACGACACCTGGCATGAGCCAGGAATCAGGTGTCCTGGCTCACATCTAAGAGCAGGCTCTTAATATATTTAAAAGGCAGAGCTTCAGTGAGGTTAGCAGGCCCCCCTTTCCCCCCAGGAGCTAACCCTGCTGTGGCTCCCTCTCCTTATTGACTAGTCAGTTGTTGATTAAGCTAAATTTAACATCCCCCTGCTGTACTTGATGAGTCTGGAAGTTTGTGTACCACTCCTTTCAGGAGGGTGGGAGACAAATTTATGTGCATAAATCCTTTATGTTCAAGAGAGAATGAGGGAGATCTTGTGATGGTTACAATAATCTGTAAAACTAGGGAGAGCCTGAGTGGATAGGCTGGCCTTTCACCATGAACTTCTTTGAGTGACTATGTGTAATTCAGTAACTAACAACAGATTGGACTTCCCTGGTCTGGCACCTTGGGGACTTGACTGGTCCTGAACGAGCGATTTTTGCCTGGCCCCTCTGCAATTCATGGGAATAACAAAAGTAAAAAAAAAAAAAAAAGCAGGGGTGGACCGGGAGGCGGGCCATCTCTGCTCTGGCCTGGTTGCCCGTCTCTGGCCAGTTCATGCTCTGTTCCTTATTTTGAATTATGAAGAGAATTTTCCTTTAAGTTCCACCTAAGTGGCACCTGTGCGCATTTGCAGACGGCAGTGGGGCTTCACAGATGTCACTTGAAGGGAGAATGTAGTATATATAGAACCTTTATTACTCATGAAGACATGCATGAAACAAAAAGCTCAGTTTGATTCTCAAGTCCCTGGTGCTGTTTTTGGCACTGACTAAAAAACCAAACCCCAAATCCTTTCACTTTTAAACTGAACACCTTGCATGTGGAAGTTCTAAAGGGTGAAGTAAACATGAAGCTCTGCAGTGTCATGTTTTGAGGCAACGATGGGCAACGTAATCTAGTGAGTGGGCTTTGAGTGGCCCTCCATCTCAGTGGGAAGCAAGATTGTTGCAGCCAAAACTGTCCCCTGGGATAGGATAATTTTGCTAACTGTGCTTGCATAGCTAAAATTTGTGGGATGTGCTGATTGAATCATAGCAGTGCTTTGATTGGATAAAGGGGGAGCACATAGCTCTTACAGTCAGTGTTGTATACAAGCAGCATGCAACTCACTTACCATGCCCTTGCTTCACCTGTGTGTCACTTTAGTAATACTGATAGGAGCAAAACTACATGGACAGAAACCAGTAGAATCTGGCAACCCCATGCATGGGCAATGATAAACAAAATGCATTGCAGGCCAGACATAGAACCTTGATGGGCTGCATGTTCACCAGGGTGTTAGTTATATTTCAGAATACCCTGTTAAAATTTAGCCTGAATAATTTGTTTACATTTAGTAAATTGTACATGAAGCCCAAAGTAGCACCTGACTTTCAAAGAACACTTTCCATGCAGTAATGTATGACCAGTATAGAATGTATTTCTCACTGACTCCTTATTACAAGCTCATGTATCAGTTTTATACTGTGCTGGCTTTGCTCTTGATCCCTAAGAATTGTTTGAGAATCTCTGTCTAGCATTCTTACTTCTCTTTTCCCAGCATCACTGGCGCATGCAGCGCAATACAGAAAATGACCCGCGTGCGAGTGGTGGACAACAGCACCTTGGGGAACACGCCATACCATCGGCCACCCAAATGCATCCATGTGTATAACAAGAGTGGAGTTGGTAAAGTGGGAGATAAAATTCTCCTGGCTATCAAAGGAGAAAAGAAAAAGGCTTTAATTGTAGGTCACAGGAGGCCTGGCCCTTGCATGACACCTAGATTTGATTCCAACAATGTAGTGCTCATTGAAGACAATGGAAACCCAACTGGGACTAGAATAAAAACCCCAATACCCTTGATCCTGCGGAAGCACGAAGGAGAGTTCTCTAAAGTGTTGGCCATTGCCCAAAACTTGGTGTGAAGACTAAGAAAGGTCTTGGATTGTCCTGCTGCATAATCTTGGAAACCATAAGAGTTCCATGTGCTTCAATTTAAGAATTAAGGTTCATTTGGAGACTTATCTTCTGATTGTGAATTAAGAATAAAAGATTGTAAAGATTAAAAAACATTTTTTAAGTACTTTGGCAGAAACATCTGAAAGGATGTGATGCAGTTAGGTAATAAAACTATTTTAGATTAACCCTTTCCCTCCTGTGGTGTTAACCTGATCTAAGATCATTAACACTTAATATGTTAAAACTCTAACTTGCTTTGCTCAGTTATATTGGTTTTTTACTCTTTTGCGTTTCTCAGTTTTGACAGTGTGAGCATTGAGAATACTTTCTGATGCGTAATGCACAAATAAGTACAGTTCCTGCCCCCAAAGATCTTGCAAGTCTAAAAGACTCAGATAAAAAACACGGGGGGGAAAGCCAGAGAAAAGTATATGATTGAAATTAAATGTTGAAGTGCTAAAGGCATTTGAGTGATGGCTTAGTCTCCTAGGACCTTGCAGAAAAAAGCAAGTCTTCAGGAGGGTTTGTTATGAGGATAGCTGTGGGGAATTACCATAGTGGTAGTGAGAAGTTGCTCCATGTCTGTGGGCACTCCAGAGGAAGGTGCAGAGGTGAGAATGGGAGTGAAAACAAATGGGGGCCTGAGGGAATCTGATAAGATCTGAGATGCAAGCCAGGACTGAGGTTAGGGATATTAAATATTGGTTAATTGAATAGTCGATTAACCTCATGAATTCTTCTTGGTTACTCGACTATTCTATAGTCCCTGGGGGTGGGAACAGCAGCCAGTGTGCTCTGACCTCTCTCCTGAGGAGCCCCCTGCCGCTCTACGTTGCTACCTCTGTATCGGAGGCAGTGGCACGGGATGGTAGGAGGGAGCTGGTCCACAAAGGGAGCCAGTTTAAAAAACAGTTCCCCTCATGGCCTGGCTGCCTCTTGCCCCACGCTGCTGCCTCTGATACAGAGGCAGAAGCACAAGGTGGCAGCAGCCCCTGTCTGGTGTGAGTCGGAACTGAATCGGGCTGCCTGCCCGCCTGGCTCCTAATTACACTTTAAATGCAGAGCCTCAGCAGATCTTGGACCTTGCGCAAGCCAGGACTGAGCTGGGCTGCTGTCCAGCATGCTAAAAAATGTACTGGCAAGGGGGGGGGGGGGGGAAATGCATGTAGTCTATAGCATTAATGTATAAGCTTTTGCTTATCCGTTAATCAACTACACTATTACATACCTAACTCAGGTGTGTAGAGTCTTGAAGGGGAGGGCTTTGGAAATAAACTAGTCTGTTTTGTTTTCTAGTTCTCTGCACTAGCTCTTAGGTTCAAGTTGCAAAGGTTGCTGTGGAAGGTGTATATTCAGACTGTTTCTTGTGTGTTTTAAACCAAATCTTTTTAATAATTTTAAAAGTAAATTAAAATTGGGTTTAAACTAGACCCAGTCTCTTTTTAGAAAACTTCTTTTTTGAATCCTTTCAGGTTCCTTTTTTCACCTTCACACCACCAGCTTTCCGGGTTCTCAGCCTTGTGGTGTAACTAAAGAAAAGACTAGTTCTAGTCTAACCCAGGACAGTTTCTTCATCTCATTTTATAGCAATCTCCTTCCAAACAAACCTTTGAGGGGACATTTATGTCACTTTTTTGTGCAAGACCTGTTGTGTCTGTGGTAGAAAAGAGGCCCTGCCCTGGGCTCTAACTCTAAGGATAATTAAGCTTTGGAGTAGGCACCCCCACAAGGCTCTGGAATCCCTGTTAGAGGTTTTTAAGAACAGGACGGGAAAATACCTGTTGGTGATGGTCTAGTTATACGTGAACCTCCTCAGTGCAGAGTGCTGGACTCACTAGATGACTTCTCAAAGTCCCTTCCAGTTCTACATTTCTGTGATTCTGTGGTCAGTAGGAACGCCACTTCTGGTGGTTAACAGTGATCAGTGCAGGTAGGTTAGATACCTGAGCCTGAGTTTGTTACTATTCTACTATAGGGAGTTGCAAACATAGGCATTGTAGAAAGTCATTTTTGGTTGAGCGTGGGCCCAGAATGGCATGATACTTTTAGGGAGTTTCAGCTGCTGTGACTTATTTTAAAATCAGCACTACAGTGTTCCACAGTGTCACAGGCATCTGCCACCTTGGGAAGCAAACATCTGACTTACATGTTGCATCAAGGCTTACGAAGTGCTGGCTAAGGACTGGGAAAGATTGCATACAGCTGATGCAATACAGTCAGGGCTCTGGCGGGATAAAGGTGGCTATGTGAAAATCCCATGAGTTAAATTAAATTCTATCTGTAATCCTTTTCATATTCTCCAGGTTAGTGGAGTAGCAGTGATGGTTTATTTGTTATAATAATTCTGATTGTTAAAGGCATGGGCAGCAGAAATGATCCGATTGTTTCCTAAAAAGAATCACAAAATCCTACATTAGAGGGAGTGAAGACAGAAGCATTCACTATTTCTGCACTCGTGGTGCCCTCTAGTGGATCTCCATTGCCTGAATGAGTCTTGCAGCTGGGATTTTATATAGCTGAAAGCCATCTTCTTTCCTCTGAATTACGTATTTATAAACCCCATGTGGAGGTAGTCCAGACATTTAGCATTGCCTCTCTTATAGGTGTAAGGCAACCTCTGAGATCTTTAGCAGTTACTTCCTGTGCTTGTTGCAGGTTTGTTCACCTCATCAACTGAAGTTTCAGAGGGGTAGCCGAGTTAGTCTATAACTGGAAACACTTAAAAAAACCCGAATAGTCTAGCAGTATCTTAAAGACTAAAAAAAACTGTAGATGGCTTTCGTAGGTACAACCCACTTCTTCACGTGAACGGAGTATTAAAAGTCCAGTTCCAGAATAAATAGGGGATGGGGTAGGGGGATGGGACAGAAGGAGGGGGGGGGGGAAGTGAATTAGAGAGTTCACGTTACATAAAGCTAATTGAGAAGGTGAAAATTGTTCTTGACTACTCATTGTTTGGTTGGTAAAGTCATAGAATCATAGGGCTAGAAGAGACCTCAGGAGGTCATTGAGTCCAGCCCCCTGCCCAAAGCAGGACCAATCCCAACTAAATCAACCCAGCAAGGGTAGGGCTTTGTCAACCCGAGACTTAAAAACCTCTAGGGATAGAGATTCCACTACCTCCCTAGGAAACCCATTCCAGCACTTCACCACCCTCCTAGTGAAATAGTTTTCCCTAATATCCAACCTAGACCTTCCCCACTGTAACTTGAGATCATTGCTCCTTGTTCTGCCATCCGTCACTACTGAGAACAGCCTCTTTCCATCCTCCTTGGAACCTCCCTTCAGGAAGTTGAAGGCTGCTATCAAATCCCCCCTCACTCTTCTCTTCATTAGGATGTGGAAGATAGTGTGCTAGCCAGGTAATGACTTTATTCATACCTTTGTGATGGGTCGCAAACTTGTAAATGAAGTTAAGCTCCAACACTTCCCTGTGTATTTGGCTTATGGAATTGGCCTGAAACAACAAGGTGACTTTGAGATCCATTAATGAGTGCCAGGGCAGATTAAAGTGTTCTCCAACAGGTTTCTATGTGTATGTCAACATCTTTATGGCTGACCTTGAACAACGTTTCCTCCGCTCTCTCCCTCTAACTACATTGATGACATCTTCATCATGTGGACCCATGGGAAAGAGACTCTTGAAGAATTTCACAGGGATTTCAACAACTTCCACCCCACCATCAGTCTCAGCCTGGATCAGAGATCCACATGATGGATGCATTTTCACCACCTTATACCAGAAACCTACCATCCGCTACACTTACCTTCATGCCTCTAGCTTCCATCCAAGACACATTTCTCAATCTACTGTTTACAGCCAAGCCCTAAAATAAACTTGATTTGCTCCAATCCTACAGACAGAAACAAACACCTACAGGATCTATATAGAGCATTCTTAAAATTGAATTACCTTCCCAGAGACATGAAAAAGCAGATTGACAGAGCCAGAAGAATACTCAGACATGAACTATTTCAAGACAGGCCAAGAAGAGAAAACAGAATTCCACTTGTCATCACCTGCAGCCCACAACTTAACCCCCTCCAACACATTATCAACAGTCTATAATCTATCCTGGAAAATGACCCCTCACTTTTACAGGCCTTGGGGACAGGCCAATCCTCACCTACAGCCAGCCCCCTAACCTCAAACAAATTCTCTCCAGTAACCATGCAGCACATCTCCATCATCATCATCCAGGAACCCACCTCTGCAATCAGCCGGTGCCAACTCTGTCCACACATCTAGACAAGCGATTTCATCACTGAACCCACCAACCACAGTCACTACATCAGGGGCTTATTTAACTGCACATCCACTAATATGATCTATGCCATCAAAAGCCAGCAATGCCCCATGGCCATGTATATTGGCCAAACTGGATTGTCTCTACAGAAAAGAATTAATGGACACAAATCAGATATCCAAAACGGCAACACACACAAACCTGCTGGAGAACACTTTAATCTGCCCTGGCACTTATTAATGGATCTCAGAGTCATCTTGTTGTTTCAGGCCAATTCCACAAGCCAAATACACAGGGAAGCATTGTATACACAATACAAGAATAAATTCCACAAGCCAAATACACATGCGGCTCTTCACCCCCTGAAGGTGCAGCTCGCAAAGCCTCCCCCAGGGCTTGCGAAGCCACCCCATGTGCCCCTATAATCGGCCCCTGACCCCCTGTGGTCACCGGGTGCAGGGGAGCCATCTGGCATGGCAGGATGGTGGCGGCTGACAGGAGCCTGATGTGGCAAAAAAGCCTGCCTGGTTTTAAAAGGGCAGCATTTTTTTTTTGTTCTGTTTTTTGTTGCTCAACAATTCTGGTGCAGCTCTTTGCATTTTTTTCCGCTACTGTTTCAGGTCTCTTCGTTTAATGGGTTGGCCACCCCTGCTTTAAAGGGTTACTGTCAAATGGTTCCAAGACAAACTTTTTCCTGTTTTAAAGTTGTTTAGAATCCCAGGAGATCCTTAAAGAGATCAGAAATAGGTTAGATTGCCATGATTGAGCAGGTATATGTTTAGGTAATTTGAGCAAAGATCTACTTGGAAAACAGACTCCTAGGTTCGTGAAAGAGTTTAGCACTGAGGAGCTACAATAGCTAGTTTCCTCAGATAAACATTCCTCTGGTTCAGGGATGTCAGGCTTGCAGAATCTTCACTCCCATATAGCATTAGCCA